TTAGAGTCATGCCACCTTGGCAAATGAAGGTCTTGAAAGCTTTACTCCATCCATGTCATTAAGGTCGACTCTACTTTGAGGAGGCACCTCTTCCCTAGTCGTATTTTGAGCACCTTCCATCCTAAGGGACTCATCTTCCATTACTGTAGCAGATAATGTTCTGCTGCTGTTCATAAGGTTTTCACTGGCCAAGTTTTTCAGAAGTTGACCACCAGCACCAGGTCCTTCTTCCTAGTCTGTCTTAGTCTGGAAGCTACACTGAAATCTGTCCACCTTGTTTGACCCTGCTAGTGTTTGAAATACCAGTGGCATAGCTTCCAGCATAACAGCAACATGCTAGCCACCACAGTATGACAAACTGACAGATGCATGGGGAGTTCTAGCCATAGTAACCACTAATCTACCTTCTGTCCTTATGTATTTGCCTATTCTAGATAGTTCATATAAGTGGTATCACAATATTTGTCCTTTTTCTCTGGTTTATTTCAGTTAGCATAACATTTTTAAGGTTCATTCATGTCATAGAGTGTATTAGAACTTCATTCCTTTTTGTGGCTGAATAATATTCCATTATATTTATATACCACATTTTGTTTGTCCATTCATCTGTCAATGCACCAGGTTGATTTTTAAAACACGGAAAGGATGTACTTGTCATTCCTAAAAATTCTTAAATTTGGCATATTTCATGATATTCCTTATGTTTTCAAGATCATTTATACTCTTGAATAGGATAGCTAAAAAACAAACTTGTTGCCATTGAGTCAGTTCTGACTCATAGCGACCCTATAGGGCACAGTAGAACTGCCCCATAGGGTTTCCAAGGAGTGAGTGCCTGGTGGATTCGAACTGCCGACCTTTTGGTTAGTAACTGTAGCTCTTAACCAGTACACCACCAGGGTTTCCAGGATACTTATAGGTTACTCTAAATTGATTGTAAATTTAAGGGTTTAAGTATTCTTTCCATAGGAAAATAAGTTACAATCGTGGGAAACAGTGTTTAGTATTAGTACTACATAGTTATAAATGTTTTACAATACAAAAAGACGTTTTTAACATAAAGTTAATTTCTTTCCTTAATTTTTAGAGTGGAAGATAGAAGGTTTTCTAAATAACTCCCTTGTCCCAAAGATAGTATTTTTAATGTTTTAAAAGTTTGGTAATAATTTCCAAAAACAATATAGTGTTAAAAAAGTCATGTTGATGAGAATGTTAGAAGCATCAGGAAGGACTTTGTCAGCAATGTGGTTTAGAGCTTCAAGTAAATGAAGTGTTTCATTTCCTTTAAAAATGTGATAGTTTTTAAAACTAAGTCCAATGTTGATATTTTTAGTTTTTCTTCCCCTCTTTATTTCTCTTTGCTATTCTGAAAAAGAAATGAATGAGAGTTTGTGGTTTGTTGGTTATAATTGATTTATATTAGAAATTATAATAAGATATTCTAAAATATTTATGGAAATAAGCAAACTTCTAAGCTTAATTATAATAATTACATTAATAAACCCATAAACCAAACCCATTGCTGTCAAGTTGATTCAAACTCATAGCGACCCTATAGGACAGAATAGAACTGCCCCATAGGATTTCCAAGGAGCGACTGGAAGATTTGACCTGCCAACTTTTTGGTTAGCAGCCAAGCTCTTAACCACTGTGCCACCAGGGCCCACTAATTACATTAATAGTTAATAATAATTCAAATAGAAGAGTTTAGTTTCTTTCAGAGTTTTAGTACAAGAAAATTCCATCCATCACAACTAGATGGTGCCTGACTACCACCACCAACTGCTCTGACAGGGATCACAATAGAGGGTCCTGGACAGAACTGGATAAAAATGTAGAACAAAATTCAAACGCACACACACAAAAATGACAGACTTACTGGTCTGATAGAGTCTGGAGAAACCCTGAGAGTATGGGCTGCAGACACCTTTTTAACTCAATCCTGAAGTCACTTCTGAGGTTCGCCCTCCAGCCAAAGATTAGGCAGGATTATAAAACAAACAATAACACACATAGTTCAACCATGCATACAAGACTAAATGGGCACACCAGCCCAGGGGCAAGGCCGAGAAGGCAGGAGGGGACAGGAAAACTGGATGAATGGAAATGAAGAACCCAAGGTCAAGAAGGGGAGAGTGTTGACACATGGCAGGGTTAGCAACTGTCTAAGTCATCTAGTGCTGCTATAACAGAAATACCACAAGTAGAGGGCTTTGACAAAGAGAAATTTGTTTTCTCATAGTCTAGTAGGCTGTAAGTCCAAATTCAGGGCGTCAGCTCCAGGGGAAGGATTTCTCTGTTGGCTCTGGAGGAAGGTCTGTGTCATCAATCCTGCTTTGGTCTAGGAGCTTCTCTGTGCAGAAACCTCTGGTCCAAAGGACATGCTCTGCTCCTGGCAATGCTTTCTTGGTGGTCTGAGGTTCCTCTGTCTCTCTGCTTGCTTCTCTCTTTTATATCTCAAAAGCGATTGGCTTAAGACACTATCTAATCTTGTATATTTCATCAGTATAACTGCTGCTAATCCATTTTATTACATTATAGTGATAGGATTTACAACACAGAGGGAAATCACCCCAGATTACAAAATGGTAGACAATCATACAATACCGGGAATCATGACCTAGCCAAGTTGACAGATATTTTAGGGGGACACAATTCAATCCATGACAGCAACCAGTGTCACAAAACAATATGTGTATTGTCTAATGAGAAACTAATTTGCTCTGTAAACTTTCACCTAAAGCACAATTAAAAAAAAAAAAAAATTCCAGCAGCTTAGCAAATACCAAAACGTGTTTAAAAGAGGGTTTGAAGTAGGTAATGGAGAAGAGGGGCAAACTGATGAATAGTGTGATGTTAAATACTGGTTTTGTTACATATGTAGTGTGTATATATATTGTGCATTCATATAATATATCTGTGTATATGTGTGTGTGTAGTTTTGTGTGCATGTGGATAAAAAACCCACGGCTGTTGAACCAGTTCTGACTCATAGCTACCCTATAGGACAGAAGAGAACCGCCCCATAGGGTTTCCAAGGAACCGCTGGTGGGTTTGAACTGCCGACCTTTTGGTTAGCAACTGAGTTCTTAACCACTAGTAGCTAAATACATAGATACGTAAGTCAATTAACACATATAAACAGAACATTGTATTCTGTTGCCTCATTTGCGTTTAAATTTCTTTTAATTGCTGTTTGTATACTTTTTCTAATTTTTCTCTTGGGATGTTTGTGGCTTTTTACATATTTATAGAAATACTGATAGCAATCTCTTGCCTTTTATATTGATGGCAAATGTTTTCATTCTGCTTGTCCTAGTCTTTTAACTTATTTGTAGTGTATTGTAGCACCTTAAAATATTTCACTTCTGGGTGAATCTGCCTTTCTTTTCCCTCACACACCTGTTTGTACCCATTGTGAAATACATCTAGTGACCTGGCCTCCATTTTGTTTCTCTCTATAACCATAACTTTCATCTTAGGCAGATCCCCAGTGTGGTTAGAGAGCTGTTCTCATGGCAGGGACTAGAAGGCAACTTCTCAGCCTTTATTTTGTATTCTGGGCATGGAAAGTAGGAAGACTGGCCCATATTATCCATGGTAGCCGTTTGATTACTTACTTTATTACCTGCTTATTCCCCCCATACTGGGAATTCCTCGTGAACTCCACAGAGAAGCCTCTCGCCTACCCTGAAACAGTCTGTGTTTTGTCTGTTCTGAGTTGCACTTTTCTTTGCACTGTTTTCACTATCTAATCTGATTACTTTCTATTTCTGGGGAACTCTCCTAAAATATTGGTTCCAGTAACTTAGTTGTTTTATGTTTCATAATTTTATATATATACACATATTTTTTCCAGACATTTTAGTTGGGTTTGGGAATGGAAAGGATGTAAGCATGTAGGCTTAATCTAACATCTCGAATTGGACTGCATCTGTGAAAGCCATGACATTCTGACTGTGTAGCCCTTGTGTTGTTGGTAATTTATGCCACCTCCTGCAGCCCAACATACTGTGATAACAAACCTCTAGGACATGGTCCCATGAAGGAATTTATAGTTCAGAGGGGAAACAATGCTATAGGAAATGAAATATCTGTGACATCCCATGTAATCCGTGCTTAACCCTCTTTGTAATACATTAAAATTCAAAATTCAATCGATAAACCTGTGTTCATTGCAGCACTATTCACAATAACCAAAAGATGGAAACAACCGAAATGCCCATCAGCAAATAAATGGATAAACAAAAGGTGGTACATACACACAATGTAGTATTACTCAGCCATAAAGAGGAATGAAGTCCTGGTACAGTTTACAACATGGATGGACCTTGAAAGCACGTTGCTGAGTAAAATAAGTCAGTCACAAAAGGACGGCTATAGTATAATTCTACTTATGTGAAATATCTAGAATAGATATATACATACAGACCTAAGTTTATTAGTGGTTACCAGGGGTGGGGAGGGAGGGTACAGAGGTGGCAAGAGGGACTCGTTGCATGGGGACACTGAGCTTCTGTTAAGGGTGATAAAAAAAAATTGGAAACAGATAATGGTGGTGATTGCACAATATGATGAACACAATGAATGTCACTGAGTTGTAAATGTGAAGAATGTGGAAATGGCAAATGTTTTGTTACATGTATATTTATCACAATTTGAAAAAAAAATTCAATGGGCTTTCATCATGTCTTCTGATGTGTAAAGTCTTTTGGGAAGAAGCAACATTTCAACTGACCCTTGATGAAGCAATAAGATTTAGAAACACAGAGACGAAAGAACAGAATAAATAGGTGGGAGCAATAATAACAGAAGATCAATAGGTAGGACAAGTATATCCTATCTGGAAAACCACAGAGTTTAATTTGACAAAAATATAATTGGGTATGTGAAATAGACTATTGCTGTTATTATCGGTGAGTTTATGTGTAAGTCAAGTTTACCTACTGTTTTTGTGATGCTTATAAATTGATTTTTATGGAAACATTTTATTTTGACAGTTTGAAATGGCCCGTGGAGAATGGTAAGGACCTTTCTTGCTTTTTTTATGGTTTATTTTTCATGTTGAAATTATTGATCGTAGATCTAGAACATAGTTTTCCTTCAAAAGGAACGTTAGAATGAAAGTAGGATTTTCCACATCAGACATTAAAATTATCTTTGAAACTAAAGTAATTTCCGAGGCCAACTCTTCAGACAGGGATTGGACTGGACTGTGGACATAAAGTGATAATCATTAAGAGTGTGCCTCTTAGCTCAAGTAGACACAAGAGACCAAACAGGCAGCTTCTGTCTGGAGGTGAGATGGGAAGGCAGAGAGGGTTAGGAGCTGGTTGAATGGACACGGGAAATCAGGGGTGGAAAGGAGGAGTGTGCTGTCACAGTATGGGGAGAGCAATTAGAGTCACATAATACTGTACGTATAAATTTTTGTCTGGGGAAAAAATGAAAAAAATTAAAAAAATAAAATTATCTTTAACAATATAAGAGTTAAAACAGAATTATTCTGGTTCAAGAACTAAGTGAATGGATCTTAGAAGAGAAACACAGAAACAGACCTAATTAAGTAATTTAGTATCTCATATAGTTTGCATTACAAGTCAATGGGGAAAGAATTATTTAATAAATGATACTGGGGCAATATTTAACTGTTTTTTAAAACAGCAAGCAAACAGGAAAAATTACAGCCCATTATTCAACAAAAAATATTTTTTAAATGAAAATTAAAATTTGAGGAAGAAAATATAATGACTGTTTTCCTGACCTAAAAATAAGGAGGCTTTCCTAAATAAATAGTGGGACACCAGTAAGATCAAATACTATATAGCCATTGAAAATATTTAATGGTAATCCGATATACAGGAAATAATATGTGACTAAAGCAAGATGGAAAATATTATGACTTTAATTTCATAAAAATTAAAATATCACTATAAGATCATGATCTACAGTACCTGTGAAAAGAGTAAATGAATATGGATACTTTTATAATTTTCTTAAATTAATTTGCAATACATATTTAATAAATAAGGTGTAATAGTTTTATAAAAATTAAAAAACAAACTCTGGTTTGTTGTTGATACTGATTTTCTCTTAACTCCTATCAGAAGAAAAGTACCTATCTTTAAATACTATGAAGACTAGTCTAGTATTCTAGGATAGGACCAGAGAGATAATAATAATGAGAAATATTTCATCATTCAACATACAAAACTTCAACTAGAGAGAAACTTCTGAAAGGAAATAACAATTTAATTTGGATATTTTCTAAACACTTATTGAAAACTAGCTTCAAATCTGAAATGGTATTTTTACTCCTTATAATTTTTATTGGTTTCCCAGACACTGTTAAACTGAAATCAGAGAAATGGGTCATTCACATTGTTCTCTAGAAACATCCTCTTTCTGACAGCAACACTCATCCTGGGAAAGACCAATTTCTTAAAAAAAAAGAAAGAAAAAATATTACTTTACTATCCCTTCAAATTTTCAGGTGATTTGTAATAAAATTTAAGTTTATATTAATTTACCATTAAGTGTAAAGCCCATTCATTACCTATTAAAATGTTATGCTTTACTAACCTCCGATATGGAGGACTAACGTGCATAGTATCAGCATAAATATTTAAAATTCAGAGTAAGAGCGTCACCTAAATTTTTTTTTTAATTAATTTTTACTACAGGCTTCCTTTACTAATTGATTACCTTTTTCACATTATATAGGAGTATAGCTTCTTCCACAAAAGGAGCGACAGAAGATTGGAGTACAACAAGTATTGCTGCACCAGAAGAAAAGGTCAAAACAGAAGAAGGAGGTAAAGTTGTTCCTCATATCTATTGAGGAACATAAATATACCCAAATACGTTATATAGAAATAATTACACATAAATAAATAGAACTATATTTAAAAGATCAGTGGTTTTTTCATTTAATATATTTCTAATTTTTACAATAACCATGTTTAAGATTTTTATCATTCTTCTGAGTGTATAATAGAGAAACAAGCCCCCATATCATGTGATTAAACATTCATTCAACAAATATCTGTTAATGACTATTATATATCAGATATTGATCTAGAACCTGAGTATATAATGAGCTCTGCCAAACTGTCAAGAAGCTAACTCTAGTTCAGTTCTATCCATTCCAAATTTCTGTAATAATTGAAATGTCTGTATTTTCACCGTCGTCAGTAGAGAAGCTACTAGCTACACGTAGCTGTTGAGCCCTTGAAATGTGGTTAGTGAGACTGAGGAACTGAATTTTTAAGTTTTACTTAATTTTAATGAACTTAAATTTAAATATAAGTAGTCACAAGTGGCCTGTGGCTGCCATATTGAATATCACAACTCCAGTTTATATATAAGTTGTCATTAATATTGTTGTCGCAATTTACAAAATGTAAAATACTTTATATACTGGTATTGTATTTGTGTTACTATTACATGTGTGTATTTGAATATATTCTTGGGATTATATTAAACACCTACAACCCCACACTCCACTGTCACAAAAATATTTGCTTAACAACCTTAGAGAAAAACAGCTAATAAAAGATTTCTTTTGAAGCAAGAAATGTTATTTTGTTATTCAAAGCTGTCATTTATAGCAAGGCTCTGTTATTACTGTTTCCCTTTTTAATATTTATGTCTGTAAGGGAGATGAAACCTCAATTATTACTTATCAAGTTTTTACATCACAAATGCTGAGAGAAGAGGTTAATATATGGGTAGTCACTATCCTAGCTCAAAATAATCTTGAGGAGCTAACAGTAAAAAATTAACTAAAATTATGATTATTACAAGCATGAGCATTTTGGGTCTAAAATATATATATTGTAAGTAAACATTTATGTTTAAAAAAATTGCAGGTGGCTGCTCACTCAGTAGCTCAAATGGTGGAGCTAATTGATATGGTAGTCTAAAAACAAAAAGAAACACTTGAGAAAGATGTTAAATAGAATGCATTAGAGTCACCGCATGTTATTCGTACTTACGTTTATTTTAGAATGTTGTTAGAGGATAGTATAAAAACAAATAATCAACAAAGTCAAGTGTCCAGCATGTGGTAAATTGTGCCAAAAGAAGACAGTAGACTTGAAGACACCAAATAAGGGACCAGTCCACAGAAAGACAATTTCTATGCCTTAAAATGGGGAAATTTGTTTCACAAGAATTCTTTTCAGACAGTATGCTGAATTTCTTTGACAAGCCCACTGGATGAGAAGTGGAGGCCGTGACCTCTGAGCTTGTCCTTATAGCCATCCTGTAATCACTATGTAATGCTATTTTCTAGCAGAACACCTTTGTCTTTATTGTTCAAAAGCAAAACAAAAGAAAAAAGTTTATTAGTTGTCTTTATTCTTGATACAGTTTTGCAATTTTTTTCCAGCTTCAGTTCTTTGGGGGCTTTGCTTTTCTGGACACTTTTTGTTTATGTATTCTTGTCATGTCATTTTTGGCAAAAGTCATTGGCAATAGGTATAAATCTCACAAGGGTGAGACCCACATCTTTCTTACTTATGGGTCTATCTCCAGGACTGAACATATTGTCTAGAACATAATAAACTGTATATGTATTTCTTGCATAAATAGATGAATGAATACCCACGTTAAAAATTTTGTTGACATTAAACCATATCATTCCGGAGCTGTGAACCAGGAATCACAACTGTCTGTCATTAAGCAAGTTAATTTGTATTATAAACAAATGAATAGAATTTGGAAATGATGATAAATTCCTGGCAAGGCTAAGTAGAGAAGTTATTATCTGATAAGATTGAAGACTATAAAGTGTCTTATTTCTAGGAATAATCTGAGAATTTTCAATATTTATCTGACATAATCATTAGGATTTACTTTTCTCATATAATGGAAGGAAATGCAGGTGTTATTTAAAAATAAAACTCTATAATATAGCTTATGAATAGGACATGTTTTTTTCCTTGAGATAAAATGGTATCATTTGTCAAAGTATAGGTTGATATTTAGCTATTCTAATTATTTTATAAAATGTTCTATTTAGAAATATGTCGTCAAATGTTATAATCAAACGGCTGATTCACTTTTCTAAAATTCTGTTACTAAATATTGGGTGGATAGAAATGCATTTATTTATTTATATAAATATTTAAAAGACTAGTGATACAAGTAAGACCCATGTTCCCACCACCCAGATTATAGGCTGATTCACTAATAAATGTAAATATATGTTCCTATTTTAAGACGAAAAGTGTCCAGAAATAAAGCAGGAAATGGGAACATTGCTATCGGAGGCCATCCATCTCATTAAAAGCCTAGAAACCGACCGTGCAGAAGCTGAAGAAGCTTTAAGACGACAAAAATTGAGAAAGAAAAAGATTAACATGAAAATTGATTCTTGGTCAATCTGGAGACTTCAAGAACTCCCCTCAGCTGTGCAGAAAGGTAAGGATTTTTCATGTCTGCCTTCTAATTGGTTGGAGAAGCATGGATCATCAATTTCAGCTCTAAATACAATACCACTTCTGTTTAGAGGGACCATATTATTTAATACCCATCCCAGGCACATTTGGAAGACACCAGTAATTTTGGGCTCATGCACATAAACTGGGACTGTGCTGTATAAACCTGGACCTACTGTCATTTGGGCTCTGTCGGAAATTACATGGGTTTTTTGGCATGTAAACACTTGGGATGTGTTTTGTATAATGACTGCAATATTCGAGCTATTAGAAATTAAGAAATTTAAATTTATTGCCAGCTGGTTTCATTAGCCACATCTGTAAATCTAAGAAAATGCAGTGGTGCTAATTTAGGAATTTTGTGCATCTGCTTGTGAGCATTGAACAGTAAATTTGCTTTGGCAATTTCCAGCAGGGACTGAAACCTAACCTGTTTCCAAGAGTCCTGCAGGTAACACATGTTTAAGAAGGAAACAGTCTTCTAGACCTCAGATTGAGGGACCTCTGGTGATCTGTTAAGCCATCTGAAGGACTGGATTTTTTATTCTCCAAACATAGTGCCTTACAAAACAAGCCTGATGGCCTGATTCGGCTTGAGACTGGAAAATTTTTACCCTTGCATAGCATAAAAATTTTAACTTAGGGTTCACATGCTTCTTTACTAGATTATATTAGGGTTCCCATATCATTATAACAAAGACACCTTTGAAAGAAAAAGGGGCACTATTAATTATTACTCTGGGACAATAGTCATTAAATCTAAATTGCATGCCAAACTGAACCCATAAACCCCTTGGGTATAATGTTATAAGATATTCTAAAACAGTAATTTCCAAAGTGAGGTGTACACATTCCAGGAAATTGTAAGAAAAATATTAAAACTTTTATTTATATTTTTAAATTTTATTCTTTTTTGAATTCAATTTTTGAATAGTGCTTTATATTAATATAAACGCCTAAATATGTAATTTCAGAAATTACATACATATATATTGAGGTTTTAGAGACAACTGAGGCTACAGTAGGGTCAGAATAGGCATCCTGGGAAATTCTGGATCCCAACAGATTCTTGACATTTCCATGTAACTCACACTTTCACAGGGAGTCATCAGCCATTTTCCTAATTATTTTGGAGCCATTTCCTTGTTAGGAGTAGAAAAGTCAAAGCTGAAAGTTTGTTTTGTTCCAATTTTTGCAAATCAATTTGTATACAATCTCACATATCCTTTATAAGAATATTTATATACTGTAATTTTGGGCCAAAAAGAGCTCTACTTAAGGAGTTACTAAAATAAAATAAAATTCAGATACAAGTGTACCTAATAAAGTCCCTTTGAATGATGGAATAAAACCTTGTCATTGGTGATCATTTATTGTATGAATTGCCTTTTATTCGATACTATTTCAGATCTATTTTAAAAAAATGAAATTTGTATTGCTTTGCTTTATTCTATTTAAGTCGCCAACACATGTATTGGAACTTAAATTCATTATTACCATGTATTTCTTAAGTGCCTTTTATTCATAACATATTCATGAAAGGTAATATGCTTTCAGGAATGTGCTAACTTTATTTTGATAATATTTAGGATATAATCTCTAAATTTTGTAAATTGGTTTATGAAGTATTGAATGATATATTTTCATAGGCTCTAGATTCTCTAAGTCTCTAGGATATGTGATAGGAAGAACTTCTTTTAAATCTTTAACAGCCTTACATTAAGTATGATGTGTGCTATAGATTTAGATCACTTTTTATTCAATTAAGGAAATTAAAGAAATGTACTTCTTTTCTAGATATCTTCTGGTTACTCCTCCAGATCCATTTACTTCCCTTGGGTCCCTTGTTTTGTGGCCCGGGGGCTGATTTATAATGGGCTGCATCTTTTGTACTCTTTCTTCTTGCTGGGTTCAACCAGTGGTATTCACCTGCAAGAGACCATGGGGGCAGGGAGTAATGGAGAAGAGTGAGGTTGGGATATTTATACTACTGGCTCCCTCCCTCTCTGCCTGGTCTCCATAAGCTGACTGCATTCCCTCATGAAAATGACAACCCTTGGCATCTGGTAGGCAGCTAATAATCTTTCAAATGCTTTTTCTTATCCCTATCAGAAAAGATAACTTGAAATAAGAATTCGATCATTAATTGAGTACTATATGGTCTACAAATTATTAAATAATAATTATATCCTTAATGATTTTCTGTCTATTATGATTTCAACTATGAAATCAGAGAAGAAATAAATTATATCAAAATTCTATTTAAAAAATTCTGTACACAACACAGTTCCCTGGTAAAATAAAAGGGTACACTTATCATATTGGACCCACGGAGCACGTGAAGGCACAAATAAACTGGTGACTCAGAATCCCCTGGTACTCTCATTGTACCTGCGTCTATAGATTCCCTGTCTTTCCCTTAACATAATTAATGGTTCTATGCCAATTCCCCAATTACCATCTAATTGAGGAGGGAAAAAAAAATCACAGCCTTGATTTATGAATGGATTTGAATGGTATGTTGGCACAAATTGGATAGCTGCTGCATTAAAATCACAGTATGGGGAGGGTAAAGACAAATCACCCCCATGAGCAGAACTTGAAACACTTACTGAGGAAGGAGAGGTGGCCTGAGGTACATATGGGAAGTGTCAAAAGGTTAGCTGGGTTGTCAGGAACTTGGAAAGATTGATGAAAGAAAGTCTTGGAGAGAGTTTTGGGATTGACCTTTCAAAAAGACATTATTTATCTAAAGTGTCTTTAAATAATTGTGTTCTATAGAAATGCTCACCAAAGTGCACGTGCTATGAAGGAATAGCTCAGTCATTAAGTAGGATGCAGTCTTAGTCATCTAGTGCTGCTATAACAGAAATACCACAAGTGGATGGCTTTAACAAAGAGAAATTTTCTCTCACAATCTAGTAGGCTACAAATCCAAATTCAGGGCATCAACTCCAGGGGAATGCTTTCTCTGTCGGCTCTGGAAGAAGATCTGTGTCATCAGTCTTCTCTTACTCTGGGAGCTTCTCTGGGCAGGAACCTCAGGTCCAAAGGATGCACTCTACTCCTGGCCCTGCTTTCTTGGTGGTACGAGGTTTCCATGTCTCTCTGTACACTTTTCTCTTTCATATCTCGAAAGAGATTGGCTTAAGACACTAATCTTATAGATATCATCAATGTAACTGCCACTAATCCATCTTATTACATTATAGTGATAGAATTTACAACACATAGGGAAATCACATCAAATGATAAAATGGTAGACAATCATACAATACTGGGAATCACAGCCAAGTTGACAGATATTTTGGGGGGACACAATTCAATCCATGGCAGATGCTAAATCTTCTAATTTTTTTTTTTTTTTTTTTTGGTATTTTTTTGGTCTTTTGAATTAGTCAGCTATTGTTACAATGATACTTTATAACATATCACCTTGGAACTCAGTGACTTCCAATAATAAGTTCCCCCCCGCCACACTCATTGGGTGATGGGTTGGCTAGGGAGGCTCTTCGTCAGAATTCACATCCAATTGGCCTAGCTCAATGCTGTGTTGATTCTGTTCTGTTTCACATATCTCTTATCCTCCTTGGTTAGCAGTTTCCCAGGGTCACACTTTTCTTATGGCAAATTGCAAGAGTACACAAAGGTGAGTAGAAAACTAGGATGCCTCTCAAGTTGATGGCTTGAAACTGGTATATTTTCACTTTTTCCCACAACCTTTGGCCAAAATAAGTAGTATGACCAACCAAGAATACACATGACTAGGCAGTATTTCTGTTCCAAGAGAGAAGATAGTGAGCAGTAATCTGATCTATCACATCTTGCTTCTACTAACTCTCCCTGATAATGAGTTGTTTTTAGATAGAGTCTACCTATTTTATAGTGATCTCATCTTCATCTATTATTATTTTCTGTAGGAATCCAATGAGACTTTGATTGCCTTTTGTCCTCTATTACGATCCTAATGTTTTGACTGGTTATACATACACCCTGGTTGCCTAGTGGTTAAGAGCTATGGCTGCTAACGAAAAGGTCAGCAGATCAAATCCACCGGGCGCTCCTTGGAAACTCTATGGGGCAGTTCTACCCTGTTCTGTAGGGTCGCTATGAGTAAAAATTGACTTGATGGCAATGGTTTTTTTTTTTTAATATAGATCAGTTAGTATATTAATTTTTTAGCTTGAGTTTGGGTTATGTCTTCATAAGTTTCAAATTTGAGGGTTTTTTTTTTTTTTTTGTATAGTTGTGATGGTTAAGATTGTGTGTCGACTTGGCTGGGCCATGATTCTCAGTGTTTTAATGTAATCACTCCCATGATTGAATATACTGTGAGTAGCCA